GACCCCTCCCCGAGCTGGGCTGGAGAGTGGAGGATGCAGCCAGGAGCAGGAAACAGCAGCCGTGTGGAGCAAGCTCAATTTTAGCTTGAGCCACTGAGCAGATTTTTTTTTTTTTTAAATTTTGTTTTAACATGTGGTCTAAATAAAATACTACTCCGAGAGCAGCTTTGCTAGCCAGCGTAACAACCTGTTTCCATTCATTACAACTGGGGGCTGGAAAAGCTACCAGCGGAATTAGTGGCAGCTTTCCAAGCTGAACACAGGGCCTATCAGGCTTTGTCAGATCGAGTTTGCGTCACTTTTAAGTCTGTCATAGGCAGCCACTAACTCAGCCTCTGGCCCCCTCCCCCCGCAGACGGAGCCCAGCTTTTCCTTGCAGCCGTCTCAGCACAAACTGATGAATGGAGCTTGAAGCACCTAAAGTGGCTACAAGTCCCAGTTCTGGGTCCACGCAGCCTCCCCCGTGCAAGTCTGATTTCCCTGAGTAACAGGCCACAGAGCCACCCCCACCCCCGGCCAAGGGGACTCAGGCTTCCCCTTGACTGATGGAAGTGGGGCAGGAAGCGCCAGACATTAAGTGCAGCATGTGCCTCACATGCACATAGCATCGATGCAAAGGAGGGTTTTTCCCAGTCAGACTTTTTTTTTTGCAGGTTCTGCTGTAGCCGTCCTGGGCCTGTGACCACCTCCAGTGACTGCAACAGGTCATGGAGTCAAGGCAACCCCTGTTAAAGCGGAGGCGTGGAATTTGGGAAGAAGGGGCACGTTTACAGCCTGGTTCTCCTGGTTCACTGGAGCGTTCCCCATGCGGTTTTGGAAGGCGGGTGCCCCACAGCAGTGATCTCCCCAGGAGCGGTCAGGGTGCAGCAGCAGGACACTGCATTGCTTTGCTGCCACTGGGTGCATCAGTCAAAGCCTCAAGGTTGTTTTAAGGGACTGAATTCAGACAGTTTGTGGGCACGGCGGACTAGCGGGAGGGCTGAGATCTGGGCAGGGAGACTGGAATTCACCCAAGAAACGCTGGCAGAGACCTAAACCTGCAGCCTCCAGCATGCTAGTCAAACCAGCACCATCTATTGGTACCAATATGGAACTGCTTATTGCCTTTCCCCATGCAATGAAACAAGTGCTGCTTCAGATACAAAGAAGAGCAGGAGTTTTGTTTCCTTCACGCCAGTAGGTGAGGGGGCGCTGGGCACAGCAACCCTGGGTCAGTGCCGTCTAACATGGGCATTGTCCAGTGTCTGCCTGGGGAACCGCCAGTCACATCGGCTCCCAGTGCCGAAGAGGAGAGTTTACAGAACCCCCCCTGCTCAGGGGAGAGGGGGTTTGCAAGCATGTGGTGCTCGTCAGGGCTTTCACACAGCGACAAGGGAGAGGAAAGCTCTCAACGGGAAAGGGAGGTTTAAGAGCCCAGACCCGGAGCAGGGGCAGAATCCGAAGTTACCTGAACTCCTTTTGAACACGGCCGGCCCTTCGTGCTGACTGTGACCCCGCAGAGGTGAGCTCAGAAAGATGGCTTTGTCCCTCGAACCCTAGACACAAGCCAGCAGCCCTTCCTGACTGGAGCTGGCCAGTCGCCAACGGGAACGCCAGGACGGACGAGGCTTTGCAGTGAGGCATGTGGTGCCGGGCGTAGTTACACCATCCCTCAGCTTGCAGAGCCGCATGCAGCCGCCCCAGGATCACGGGCAGCAGGGCACAGGGCTGGGCTCACACACAGACGCTCAGACACAGCCAGGAGGTAGAGCCAGCACGGCAGCAGTGATACCAGCAGGAACTTACTCCGGGAGTTTGAGGCCACTGCATCAGCCAGCAGGTTTGACTGTGGCCAGCGCCGCTGTGCTCAGCAACCACATCCCACTGCCCACGGTCCAGTTCTTTGGGGGGGGGGGGGGAAGAGAGAGAGAGACGGACTAGCCCCCAGGGCATGCTGGGCTTCCTGCTGGCAGTCACAATCCCTGCAGGAAGCTGGTGGATGAGGAGGAGTGCCCAGGCCGGGACTGGCAGTCTGCATTGGTACCAGAGGCGGCAGAGCACGGAGGACCCAAACCACGCGGCATTTTCCAGGCAACACCATCAGTCCACAAAATGGCTCAAGTTTGATCCGCTCAGGAGCAGCCTTAGTGTCATGTGCCCTGAACTCCCAGAAACTGGCCTGCCAGTCAGCAAGAGCCACCTCACACTGCAGCCGGACTGGCTCTGGCCTGACGGATCACCCTACCAGAGGATGCCCCCCCTCGGACGTGTTCGCTCCCAGCCGTCAAGCACTCGGCCGCCCTGGAGGAGGAATCGATGCGTTGGATCTACATTGGTTATTGACCGAGACGTTTGACAAAGAACTCAGGACTGCTCCTGTTAGAGGAGGAACGCTGCCCACTGAAATCCAAGTTAAGGGCTTGTCCACACTGTCAATTGCTGGAATAGCAATTCGCTTTGAATTCACGTCCTGCCTTATTCCAAAATAGCTGCCATGTGCGTATGAGCCCTGAGGAACACAAATGCATTAGGCTTTCCCCCAGGTTCCCAAACTGCCAGAATATTTCATTTACAAACACAGCAAACAGAAGACACTTGCAAGCAACCTACCCATCAGTGGCCACAAGGGCAGCATCTCCAATACTATAGCTACAGCATTGCCGGTAACCAATCAGAAAGCCGTAGCCCCCTTTGGGCTTTACGGACAATGAAACCAAGTGTCACTGTGCAACATGGAAGCAGAGACGAAGGTGTGGAACCCGAGCGAGAACTGGGGAGCTCTGGTGGTGGTGGAGGAATCTGAGTCAAGCTTGAAGGGAACTAGCCACACAATTAACTCACTCAGAGGGGCCACAAACCGTGACCAGAATGAACGGAGGGATCCAGATGAACTGGAGCATGAAGGGCCTGACGCTCAGTCACACAGGAACGATCCTGTAAATGTACACGGGATGACCAAGAACCAAGGTTGGAGTACACAGATATCACGAGCAGGAGCAACTCAACATCCTCTTACCACTTGTTTAGGCACAAGACTGCCTGAAGACATGGCTTAATGCTACTAGCGAGAACAGGTCTGGACAGGCCAGTCTCACCTCTGGGGCGGCTGGAGAGTGCGGATGAAGATCTTGAAACGCCTGCTGTCAAAGCATCTGGAGCCGGTGGTGTGAGGAGAAACTAGAGTCACCCACAAACTGCACTAGTGATCCCCGCCCTTTACTAAGTGGTGAGGGATAAAGCTCCTTAAAGAAGTCTCTTCCGTTTGCAACGGTGGTATAATTTTTCCACCCATGAGCAACATAAGCCCGAAGAAAGATTCAGTCTCCAGCTGCCCGGTCCATGGGCGAAGGGTGTGCAGACCAGACCTGTGCATGCACAAGCTGTTAGCTGCTTGAAGGCCGGTAACTCGAATGGCTCCAAAGACTTTTATCCAGAGCAGCACACAAGCGTGTACTCCATCCGAACCTACAGCCTGGGGCTGGGTTACCTGCAGGAAGCCTATTCTGTGCAGCGAACGTCTAACTTATTCTGCAAATACAACTAAGTCCTTTCCATTTGGAACTGTGGAGTTACAGATTAGGCAGGGATCTAAGTATTACCGCTGGATATAAATCTTGGCGAGAGAGAAGATGTTTTAAGAGTAAGTGGATCATGTGGTTGAGGGCAAGGGAAGAAAAAGGTTTAGGGGATGCCCAGTAAGACAAGAGGCAACGCTTGTGTGTACCTGACCATTGCTGCTGTCACTGGACGAGGCACTCGTCGCACTGCTGACAGGGTGGTAGGTCACCCAATGACCAACCAGGCTTTGGAAACTGGGCCTAGAAAGGGGAGTTTGCAAGACAGCCATTACAATGCAATACTCGTCACGCAGGAACATGCCACAGCGGTTCAGGGTATGCGCGGAGAGACAGCCACTACCTCACTTCAGGGACAAGCAGCTTTATAGCTTTTCCGTGGCGCACCCCAGTCGTGCTCAACCCCCCCCCTCCCCCCCCCCCCCCCACACACTCACACACACACACACCCCTAGCCCCACTGAACGAGTGGGGAATGAGACGGAGCAGTCAGGAGAGCAGCACAAGAAGCCAGGTCAGGTCCTCCCACAAGGCCATCTTTCCTGTTGGCCCGAGGCCCCGCCGGAGAGCAGCCTGGTGACTTGAGGAGACTAGAAAGGCTGAAGACACAGCTTGGAATATCGTCCATGCACCAGAGCCACGACTACTGCCAAAAGCAGGCGTTCCCCGGTAACGCAGGAAGGGATGGTCATCGGCAGGCTAAGGCCAGACAGAGTCAGGAGCACGGTCTGCCAGCACTGTCACCGAGTGCCCCGGCCCAGCGTCTGGGTGCTGGAGGCAATGGGCGGTACCTAGAAGGGACAGGTCAGAGCTCTGCCACAGCGTTAGTCAAGTGACTTGGTCACTTTCCCAGCCTGACCCCCTCTCTGCAGGCTGGCAGCCAGTCTCGCTAGGGGGACTGCACTGCCCTCTCTGCAGCAGCACGTTCGCAGCACACCCTGAGGGGAAATGGGGAATGCGACTCCCCATTCCAGTGATCACCCAGTGATTAAAACGTGCCATCGGTTGGTATGAAGGAGACGGAGCAGTTTGTACCCCAGTTAGTCCCCAGTCCCCCTTTCTAAGAGGAGCGTGTGTGCACGGGCAGTTCGGCAGAGGGGGTGGCTGCACGGAGGACATGGGGAAGAGCTGCAGGGCTAGGTCAGGGGAGGCCATGCCCCGGAAGCAGCAGTAGTACAGAGCACGGCTACCTCAGCGTGTGGGGAACAACTTCACAAGCACAAATGTGGCTGGAGATTTATCCTGTTCTGTGGAAACCTGAGCTCTATGCACAGCCTGGGACTCAGGCCTTCATCCTGAATCGGCTCTGGGCTGCGTGTGATTTGCCAGCCATCCCATTACACACAGGCAGCACGTGTGATGTTTGTGAACACCACAAATCAGTTCCACATGGCAGGTAAAACAGCTGCCTCGGAGCCTGTCACCGAGTCACCCTCTGCTCTTTACCTGCAGGGGTCCAGGTTTCTGGGCCCTTGGCTCCGGCTGGCGCTCTTCCTCTCCTTGGACTGCAGGTTCTTTGGTAGCTGGACACCCACAGTGCAGCTGACTCGCAACAGGAGAGCCACAAACAAGTGCGGGTAGAGCCCCAGCACCGCTGCCCCAGACTCCGGAGCAGACATGATCTCATGCAGAGCACATGTGGCCTGAGAAGAGAGAAAGAGGATTAGGAAGGGCCGGGGCGGAAGCGAGAAATCGTCTACTCCCCACTAAGACCTGTTAACAATACTCGGTAGGTTAGCGACTAAGGCAAGGAGCGCTACAAATCCCCTCCTCCAATTCAGAGACTAACAAGACCCCAGCAACCAGCCCATTGTTCAGCGGCCCAGGCCTGGCTTTGCCGTAGCCAGCAACAAAGCAGAAAAGCCACTATTCGAACAAAACCGTTTGATTTGAAACTTGCATGTTTCTAAACCGGGAAACAGGGTCTGAGATCAGCACCTGGCGAGGAGAGATCTCCTAGCTGGAGTTTTCAGGCAGGAAGAGCGCGTGCACGTCACGCACACAGCTTGCATAGCCCTGCTCCGGCTGATTTAAAGAGCTGCAATTACATGGCCCAGAATACACAGGGCTGTAGAAGAGAGGGGAGGGGGAGGGAAGGAGTGTTTGCTTTCAGCATGACGGATTCTGTACCATCTGCACTTGGTTCGGAGGAGGAGATTTTCACAGCTGCTTTACTCCTTAGAAAGCTGCCAAGCCGGGATTAGGTTTTTGACGGGATAAAACGCGAAGTGGTCTCCCTAGAGGATGAACACCTGAGAGGTTTTTTATGAGCCCGTGGATTAGCTCTAATAGGCATTACACAGTGATGCGTTATTTCCAGAGTCCAGGCCTGGCCCAAACACCTGAGCCGAGGAAATGAACAAAGCAGGCCGGGGGGAGGGGGGGGGGGGGTGTCTGGAATGCCATCTTCCCTGGGGGCTAGGAGCCCGGCTAAAGGAAAGCACGGCCCCTTTGGGCCGGGGGAGGGATGGCAAGGTGGGGGAGCAACAGGATACTTACAGCAAGAGGGAGGGGAGTGGCAATGCGCTCAGAGGTGCTCCCCAACAGGAAGGATTTGTTCTCTTTGTACGGCACATCCCGATTCACCTTGTCCAGGAGCAGCTCCAAGATCTGCGACGTGAGGGTTGGCTCCGTGGCCAGCGCCTTCCACATGGCACAGGTGTGACTAGGTTTGCACAAACAGGAGGGTTATTTTTGCGCACGAGCTGCCCTGTTAGTTTGCTACGGGCTCCTAGCTCTGAGCAGCAGCAAGCCTGCGAGTGCCCCGGCCCGATGCTGCTCAGCTCCCCGCTCGAGGACAGACGTGGGTCTCCTCTCCTGGCCTGCAGTGCAGAACTAGAGCTAAGGTGCTAACTGCAACCCGGGGGCTTTCTGCCTGGCTCCGTAGCCGGGCTCGCAGCCTCGCTGGGACATCCAGATCCCGCCGGAGGAGTCCCCTAGCAGAGCTGGACAGAGGGGAGGCAGAGAGGAGCCTGTGAAGATCTCCACGGAGGAAGGGAATTGCTCGGTGTGACAGCGGGGGTAGGACAGAGCCACGAGAGAAGTAAAGAGGGATGTCCAGGATCGACATCGGGGAAGCCTCTGGGCAGCCCAGTGGCTCCCGCTGCGCAGCCCCTCCAAAGGGAAAGGCTGGTGGCCCCGGCTGCAGTTGGGATGAAACGCTCCCTCTGCACGGCACCCTAAGGTTGGCAAGGTGCATTAGGGGGTTTTCCCCCTTCCTCAGCCCACGATCAGCTGGTGGGGCCATTGCTTTCCCCATCACCTGAATCCCTATGCCTCTAGCACCCCGGCCCCAGCAGGGTCACAATGGGGGCCACGTACAGGGAGGGGCAGGGGGACAATCGAGGTGCGAGGGAAACCCCAGGGCCAGGGCTGGATGACTCAGGGTGGGTGGCCTATACCAGAACAGACTCGCTAATGCAGGCTGCCGCGCTAAAGCAATTCCAGGCCCTTTCTAAAGGCAACTCCCCGACAAGTGGACGTGCTGATCCCCGAGCACAGGAAGGCCATTCCAGCAGGGTCCGATTACCAGGGGCAAGAGCCAGAAGATTAGCTGCAGCTTAAGTGAAAGCTGCTCCAAAGCCCACCTCCTCCGAGAGGGAGAGCAATGCAATGGCGCGAGCCGGGTACCTGTCAAAGGGCAGGGAGCTGCCCAGCAGGCTGGACACCACCGCCGTCTTATGCTGGGAGGCCAGGATGTAAACCGTCTGCTGAGCGGCCTTCCTTAAGTGCTCCTCATCCACCTCTTGCAGCTTGCTGTGAACCAGAGCCATGAGCACGGGCACCTGGAGGACGAGAGGCAGAAGAGGAGTATAAAACTATTGCTCAGGCATGCAGGAGTGAAATCGCACTGGGAGCTGCAGCTAGCAAGGGATGTTAAGAGTAACAAGAAGGGTTTCTTCAGGTACGTTAGCAACAAGAAGAAAGTCAAGGAAAGTGTGGGCCCCTTCCTGAATGAGGGAGGCAACCTAGTGACCGAGGATGTGGAAAAAGCTAATGTACTCAATGCTTTTTCTGCCCCCGTCTTCACGAATAAGGTCAGCTCCCAGACTGCTGCACTGGGCAGCACAGTGTGGGGAGGAGGTGACCAGCCCTCTGTGGAGAAAGAAGTGGTTCGGGACTATTTAGAAAAACTGGACGAGCACAAATCCATGGCGCCGGATGTGCTGTATCCGAGGGTGCTAAAGGAGTTGGCGGATGTGACTGCAGAGCCATTGGCCATTATCTTTGAAAACTCATGGCGATCGGGGGAGGTCCCGGATGACGGGAAAAAGGCTAATGTAGTGCCCATCTTTAAAAAAGGGAAGGAGGAGGATCCGGGGAACTACAGGCCAGTCAGCCTCACCTCAGTCCCTGGAAAAATCATGGAGCAGGTCCTCAAGGAATCAATTCTGAAGCACTTAGAGGAGAGGAAAGTGACCAGGAACAATCAGCATGGATTCACCAAGGGCAAGTCATGCCTGACTAACCTAATTGCCTTCTATGAGGAGATAACTGCTCTGTGGATGAGGGGAAAGCGGTGGATGTGTTATTCCTTGACTTTAGCAAAGCTTTTGATACGGTCTCCCACAGTATTCTTGCCGGCAAGTTAAAGAAGTATGGGCTGGATGAATGGACTGTAAGGTGGATAGAAAGCTGGCTAGATCGTTGGGCTCAACGGGTAGTGATCAACGGCTCCATGTCTAGTTGGCAGCCGGTTTCAAGCAAGTGCCCCAAGGGTCGGTCCTGGGGCCGGTTTTGTTCAATATCTTCATTAATGATCTGGAGGATGGCGTGGCTTTCACCCTCAGCAAGTTTGCAGAGGACACTAAACGGGGAGGAGTGGTAGATACACTGGAGGGTAGGGATAGGATACAGAGGGACCTAGACAAATTAGAGGCTTGGGCCAAAAGAAATCTGATGAGGTTCAACAAGGACAAGTGCAGAGTCCTGCACTTAGGACGGAAGAATCCCATTCACTGCTACAGACTAGGGACCGAGTGGCTAGGAAGCAGTTCTGCAGAAAAGGACCTAGGGGTTACAGTGGACGAGAAGCTGGATACAAGTCGACAGTGTGCCCTTGTTGCCAAGAAGGCCAACGGCATTTGGGGCTGTATAAGTAGGGGCATTGCCAGCAGATTGAGGGACGTCATCATTCCCCTCTATTCGACACTGGTGAGGCCTCATCTGGAGTACTGTGTCCAGTTTTGGGCCCCACACTACAAGAAGGACGTGGAAAAATTGGGAAGAGTCCAGTGGAGGGCAACAAAAATGATTAGGGGCCTGGAGCACGTGATTTATGAGGTGAGGCTGAGGGAACTGGGATTGTTTAGTCTTCAGAAGAGAAGAGTAAGGGGGGGGGGATTTGATAGCTGCTTTCAACTACCTGAAAGGGGGTTCCAAAGAGGATGGATCTAGACTGTTCTCAGTGGTACCTGATGACAGAACAAGGAGCAATGGTCTCAAGTTGCAGTGGGGGAAGTTTAGATTGGATATTAGAAAAAACTTTTTCACTAGGAGGGTGGTGAAGCACTGGAATGGGTTACCTAGGGCGGTGGTGGAATCTCCATCCTTAGAGGTTTTTAAGGTCAGGCTTGACAAAGCCCTGGCTGGGATGATTTAGTTGGGGTTGGTCCTGCTTTGAGCAGGGGGTTGGACTAGAACCTCCGAGGTCCCTTCCAGCCCTGAGATTCTAGGGTTCAGGACAGACGACGAGCAGAGAGGAGCTGGGACGGGTTCCCAGCACACTGCCTGGTTCACTGCTCAGACCCAGGGCAAGAGCCCAGCAGGGCAGTCCCTGCCCTCCAGGCAGGCTGTCAGCAATGGAGGCTGTAGCTTAGCCAGCTAACATGGTCTATGGTACATCTCACGTCCTGCCATGCTGGGGGCCGGCAGTGATCTGGGGCAGGACCCTTCGCCTTCTGGGGTCCTGAGGAAGGGGGAGAGGCAGCAGAGACCAACATTAGCCAGCAGTCCTTGCAGTGCTCTCTGCACGAGCCCCCCAGCCCTGGTTTACTTCACCGCGTCCAGCAGCAATTCTCTGGCCAGAAGGATGAGGGGGCTGCATCTGAAGCCCAGGAACACGACTTCCCAGCCATCCCAAGCACCCCCAGGCCTTGAGCAGCTCCCAGAGGGACAGGATGAAAGCTCGGCCCACTGCGTAAAGCCCAGTGCCCACCAACAGCCTGCCAGCGACATACACTAACCACATCGACCCAGTCAAACACCAAGCTCCTGGAAAGGCGCCCGCAGGCCGAATGGCGGGAGCGAACCGCACAGCGCAGTCCAACAGGATGGTCACGCACAGAGCGGGCCTGGCAGCACACTCCAGACAGGAAGTGCAGAGCACTCTGTCCCCAGCTGTGCTCCGGTTTTGGCCCTGGACTCAGAGGCTTAGCACCAGTTTGGATTTCAGAAGCTGGGCTGGACAGATCTGACCAAGAGGTGAACCACGCAAACTGGAGCAGCCTCAAGCAGGATAGAGGCTAACAGGTAGAGAACAGGACTTTTGCAGCCGCTCTAGAGGCAGAGGAAAGCCCAAGAAGTGGAGAGGGAGAACTGCTTTTTCCAAGAGGGGGAAAAAGGGGGAAAAAAAAGGCTTGGCCCAAAAGGTAGAAGAATCAGATGAAAAAAGCTTCACGTCCAGAATCTCCCACGCCCCTGAGCTTCCAGCCCTCCTGCCCGGAAAGGCGCCCAAGGATCTCACAAGGAGCCCCAGCCCTGGTAAAGCCAGAATGGCCGATAAACCCATGGAGCAGGCCTGGCAGGTGGCAGCTTCCCTACACCCACCAGCAGGCGACTCCAGTTCCAGCCCTGCAGCTCCTGCTCCAGCGTCGCTCGGCCAGAAGGCTGGGGAGCATCAGCCCGAGGCCAGCCAAAGGGGTGGGTGGGTGGGTGGGGGAGGGAGACTAGGACGCTAAGTGACGCCCTGTGACTGAAGAGCAGCACTGATGGGGCTGAGGCACAGACGTTCCTCTGTCCAGAGTTTTTTGCGGCCTTGTCCTGCTGCCACCATATTTACAGCCTTCAGGGCAGGACCATGGCGCGTCACCCAGGAGCTCAGAACCCGCCCCTGAACGTGTGCCCCATTGTCCCACTACCCGCTGCACAAACATGCCGAGTTCCTGCCCTGCCAAGCATATTCCAGAACCTGACTGCACCCTTCGTCCGGCAGGAGCACCCAGACACCAAGCCCTTCCCCAGAGGGGGCTGCTCGAACTGGGGGGGGGGGGAGAGGAGACCAATGCCCTGCTCAGATCCAGCAGCAGGGGAGAGCACAGCGCAGCAGAATCCCTCGAGAGCCAGCTCTCTAAAGAAGGTTCCTTTCGCCCTGGAGTCCAAAGCACAGGCTGGGGGAGACCCTAGGGCTTTACCTTTTCCAGTAACACCCCTCCACGCTCCTTCAGGATGGCGTTGATCATGACAGCAGCGGCTCGAGAGCAGTTCTGATCGGGATCTGCCAGCCCTTCAAACATCATGAGCAGAAGGCTCATCAGCTGGTCCGGTGGGAGGCGCTTCCCAATCACCTAGCAAAGGAGAAGGGAGGAAGAGGTTAGATTTAACATGCTGGGGATTCTAGCACCTTTACCCCAATGCACTTAAAACAAAAGTCACTGAAATGCAGCCACATCTGGGGAGAGACCCAGCAACACTAACAGCAGTGCTGCACAACTCACAGCTGGCAGAAAGAACCTTACGCCTGGCGACTGTACAAGGAGGCAGAACGTAAGGAGTTGGAATTTGGCCAGAATACAGTCGCTCACACACCATAAAAAGGCTCAAGACCCTGGTTTGATACCTCCTCAGCTGAAAGACGGCAGCCCTGGTTCCCTGCTGACCAAGGGAAAAGACCCACAGGAACACCTGGGTGTGCCATGGATTACGGCTGTCCGGCTGAGACAACAGGCTCACAGCTCCAGGCCTCTACCCCGGGTTCTCAGTGTGCTTTAAAAATCAAGACTGGCCCAACCACAGTGTGATCTGTGGGGCGAGTGCCACCCGCTCTTCTCCTCCTTTTCTCGATCTCACACCGTAGAGCGTCGTTCCTCAGCCAAGGAGCTGACATTCTAGCTTAGACGAGCTCAGAGACAGCCAGCCAGCGGTGCGGTCTCAGAGCAGCGTCGGGCTGACCCTCACGAGCTGCTTGCGCCTGGCAAGGAGGAGGGACTGCACTGGGCAGCATGGACACTACCTCCACTCTGGAGTTGGCTGCTCAGTGACTAAGCCAAGGACTTCAGTGCCCAGAGCTTTCATGCCATTAGAACTGGTCACTTTACAAAGGGAAACGGAGGCAAGACTGGGCATTTAGAACTGTCCACTCCACACTCAAATGCGGCACCAGAACCGGAACGTACGTTCGGATCTGGGGGGCGGGTGTGGAAGCCGTGCCACTGGGGGAGATGTGGCCCCAGCGGCGTCAGTGTGGGGTAAATGTCCAAGCAGAAGGGCCTTGCAGCTGCAGCGGCACAGGAGCCAGCAAACAGAGCTGTCAACAGGGGAGTTTGGGGGGGTGGAAGACCAAGAGGCAGGCAGAGGAACAGACAGGCTAGTGAAGAGCGCGTGTGGTGTTGCGGTGCTCGCTGGGGGTTTGGTTTGCTGTTGAGGTTTGGTTTGTGTTTCCCGGACTTACAGGATTTAGGTGGGAAGGCTATGACAGATACAGAGGCAGCAGTGGTAGTGACCCAAGCTGTGGAAGATGCAATGAAGATGACTGGATGTGGAAGCTGCGGTATGTACATGATCCTGGAGGGGGTATCTGAAAAAAGAGTTTCGTCTGCATGAAGTGCCGCCTGCTAGAGCTGATGGAAGAAAAGATCCGAGGACTGGAGATGCAGGTGGAAACTCTGGTTGAGTTTAGAAGGGGGTTTGAGCGGATGATGGAGCAAAGACATGGAGGAGGCTGAAGGGAAAAGCTCAGACTTGCAGATGGAAGCAGGACCAAAGAACTCTGAGGGGAGACTGCTGGGTGAGGACGGTGGAAGCATGTGACTGAGAGAACCAGGCAGAGGAAAAGACGGGCTAGTGAAGGAGAAAGAGCTCAGGAACAGGTTTGCGGAGTTGGAAAATGAAGAAGGGGCACAGCAGGTGGTCGCTGAAGGTGAGAGGGCAAGGAAGAAGAGAAGAGCAGCGAGTCCTATAGGAAGAGGGGAAGAGTCAATGGAGATAACACCAAATATGAGCCCCAGGAGGATACGGGATGGGTTGCGGAGGATTGCAAGGGAGAATAGGAATCGAGAGGACTTGCAGCCAGAGGGAACAGGGGATAGACCGGAGAATTGCACCATCACCGGGAAAAGGCAGGTCTACGTGACCGGGGACTCCTTACTGACAAGAGCAGACAGGCCTGATCCGGAGAACAGAAGGGTGTGCTGTGTGCCGGGTGCTAAGATACGGGATGTGGACCTGAGGCTGAAGAGGATCCTAATGGGAGCGGGAAAGAATCCACTGATTGTCCTTCACGTGGGAACAAATGATACGTTCCAGCGAGAATCTAGCTGTATCGTATCAAGGGAGACTATGCCAGGCTGGGGAAGTCGCTTAAGGAAATCGAGGCTCAGGTGATCTTCAGTGGGATTCTGCCTGTTCCTAGAGAAGGGCAACAAAGGTGTGACAAGATTAGGACGGATCAACAGATGGCTCAGGCAGTGGTGCTACAAGGAGGGCTTTGGGATGTATGGCCACTGGGAGGCATTCATGGACAGAGGACTGTTCTCTTGGGATGGACTTCACCTGAGTAGGGAGGGAAATAGACTTCTAGGATGGAGGCTGGCACAACTGATTAAGAGAGCTTTAAACTAGGAATTTGGAGGAGATGTCCAGGTAATCTCCACGCTGGATTTTAACATTGAGAAGGAAGAAAATGAAGTAAGAAAGGATACAACCATGGGTAGGAGAATAGACATAAGGAGGAAGGGTAGTGTAGATACCAGTCTAATATGGGATACTGGCAGTAGAATGTCTGTGCCTAATCGGGTAAAGAATGTGAGAGAAGCCAAACAGCAAAAATTAAGATGTTTGTACACCGATGCGAGGAGCCTAGGTAACAAAATGGAGGAACTAGAGTTACTGGTGCAGGAAGTGAAACCGGATATTATAGGGATAACAGAAACATGGTGGAATAGTAGTCATGACTGGAGTACAGGTATTGAAGGGTATGTGCTGTTTAGGAAAGACAGAAATAAAGGCAAAGGTGGTGGAGTAGCATTGTATATCAATGATGAGGTAGACTAAAGAAATAAGAAGGGATGGAATGGATAAGACAGAGTCTGTCTGGGCAAAAATCACATTGGGGAAGAAAGCTACAAGAGCCTCCCCTGGGATAGTGCTTGGGGTGTGCTACGGACCGCCGCGATCTGATTTGGATATGGATGGAGACCTCTTTAATGAAGTAAACACTAATGGGAATTTGTGTGATCATAGGAGACTTTAACTTCCCAGATATAGACTGGAGGACAAGTGCTAGTAATAATAGGGCTCAGATTTTCCTGGATGTGATAGCTGATGGATTCCTTCATCAAGTAGTTGCTGAACCAACAAAAGGGGGGGGGTTGATTTCAAAAGGGCTAACTTTAAAGAATTAAGGAAATTAGTTAGGGAAGTGGATTGGACTGAAGAACTTGTGGATCTAAAGGCGGAGGCGGCCTGGATTTACTTCAAGTCAAAGTTGCAGAAACTATCAGAAGCCTGCATCCCAAAGAAAGGGGAAAAAATTCATAGGCAGGAGTTGTAGACCAAACTGGATGAGCAAACCATCACAGAGAGGTGATTTAGAAAAAGCAGAAAGCCTACAAGGAGTGGAAGATGGGAGGGATTAGCAAGGAAAGCTACCTTATTGAGGTCAGAACATGTAGGGATAAAGTGAGAAAGGCCAAAAGCCATGTAGAGATGGACCTTGCAAAGGGAATTAAAACCAATAGTAAAAGGTTCTATAGCCATATAAATAAGAAGAAAACAAAGAAAGAAGAAGTGGGACCGCTAAACACTGAGGCTGGAGTGGAGGTTAAGGATAATCTAGGCATGGCCCAATATCTAAACAAATACTTTGCCTCTGTCTTTAATGAGGAGCTTAGGGATAATGGTAGGATGACAAATGGGAATGAGGATATGGAGGTAGCTATTACCATATCCGAGGTAGAAGCCAAACTCGAACAGTTTAATGGGACTAAATTGGGGGGCCTAGATAATCTTCATCCAAGATTATTAAAGGAACTGGTACATGAAATTGCAAGCCCATTAGCAAGAATTTTTAATGAATCTGTAAACTCAGGGGTTGTACCGTATGACTGGAGAATTGCTAACAGAGTTCCTATTTTTAAGAAAGGAAAAAAAGTGATCTGGGTAACTACAGGCCTGTTAGTTTCACATCTGTAATATGCAAGGTCTTGGGAAAAAATTTGAATGAGAAAGTAGTTAAAGACATTGAGGTCAATGGTAATTGGGACAAAATACAACATGGTTTTATAAAAGGTAAATCGTGCCAAACCAACCCAATCTCCTTCTTTGAGAAGGTAACAGATTTTTTAGACAAAGGAAACGCAGTGGATCTAATTTACCTTGATTTCAGTAAGGCATTTGATATGGTTCCACATGGGGAATTATTAGCTAAATTGGAAAAGATGGGGATCAATATGAAAATTGAAAGGTGGATAAGGAACTGGTTAAAGGGGAGACTACAACAGGTCGTACTGAAAGGTGAACTGTCAGGCTGGAAGGAGGTCACTAGTGGAGTTCCTCAGGGATCGGTTTTGGGACCAATCTTATTTAATCTTTTTATTACTGACCTTGGCACAAAAAGTGGGAATGTGCTAATAAAGTTTGCAGATGACACAAAGCTAGGAGGTATTGCCAATACAGAGAACGACTGGGATATCATATAGGAAGATCTGGATGACCTTGTAAACTGGAGTAATAGTAATAGGATGAAATTTAATAGTGAAAAGTGCAAGGTCATGCATTTAGGGGTTAACAACAAGAATTTTTGTTATAAGCTGGGGACGCATCAGTTGGAAGTAAAGGAGAAGGACCTCGGAGTATTAGTTGATCACAGGATGACTATGAGCTGCCAATGTGATCTGGCCATGAAAAAAGCTAATGCGGTCTTGGGATGCACCAGGCGAGGTATTTCCAGCAGAGCTAAGGAGGTGTTAGTACCATTATACAAGGCACTTGTCAAATATAAAGGGAAGGGTAACAACCTTTATGTATGCAGTAATATAAAATCCCTTTTGGCCAGAGGTACAGAATCACTTACCTGTAAGGGGTTAATCAGTTCAATTAACCTAGTTGGCACCTGACCAGAAGGACCAATGGGGAAAGAAGATACTTTCAAATCTGGGGGTGGGGAGAAAGGTTTTATTTGTGCTCTTTTGTGTGTTCCCTCCTGAGATAAAAAGAGGGAACAAGCAGGTAATCCAGCTCCTACTGAAATGATACATCTAAAATTACAGAAATTGTAAGTAATAGGAAGGAAATGTGTTAGATTATCTTTTGTTTTAGCTTGTGAATTTTCCCTATGCCAAGAGGGAGGTTTATTCCTGTTTTGTAACTTTAAAAGTTGAGCCCAGAGGGGAATCCTCTGTGTTTTAAATCTTATTACCCTGTAAAGTTACCTTCCATCCTGATTTTACAGAGGTGCTTCTTTTACTTTTTTTTTTTTTTTTT